AAAAGCTGGATCAGAGGGAGTCGTAAAACCCGACACCCACGTACCCCACCCGGGCCTGGGATTGGGGCTGCGTGCAGGTGCCCTTCCTCCTCGTCCTCTGCTTTCCCTAGGCCCTTTCCGATGACCATCCTTTCTTCCTGTCTCTTCTCATTTCCCTTATTGATCCCCTCAACCCATTTCTTTTTTTATTTTTCTCTTTTTCTTTTAAAGATTTTTATTTATTTATTTGAAAGAGAAAGAGTGGGGAGGGGCAGCAGGAGAGGGAGCAGCAGGCTCCTTGGCGAGTGCAGAGCCCGACGTGGGGCTCGATCCCAGGACCCCACAATCCTGACCCGAGCCAAAGGTAGATCCTTAACTGACTGAGCCACTCAGGTGCCCCCCCGCCCCCGCCAACCCATTTCTTTGCACAGTTTCCATCCTCAGCTGCGCCCCGAGCCTAACCGCCTGCTAAGACCAACTGTGACAAACTGTCCCCAAATTTGAGGGTGCCTGATTGGCAGTCTCCCTGGAGCCTCACGCACGGCAAAGGTGCCTCCTAGTCGGAGGACCCGGTGAATGCTCAGCCAGGAGCCCACCCTCTCCTTCCCCAGCTTCCCTTGGGTCCTGGTTGGCATAAGGTTCAGGGATTAGCGGCTGCCCAGAGGCTACTTAGGGCTCCCGCGATTTGGAAAGGTATAGATCTTTCTCCTGATCTTGTCACCTTCCTTTCTAATCCCCAGCTGCCGTTAACCTCTTTTTGCTTCTCCAGAATTAGTTTCGGTCTCTAAATGCTTTGCTTGGCTGTCCTGTTGTTTAGCTCCTGTTGGTTTATTGTTTAGATACGAACATTCTTTTCTAAAACACAGGGACGAGAAAAGCGCAAATGTGTTACCTGGTGCATCTAATAAAACTCACTCAATTGATTCAGAATGGCTTGGCCCAGAGAAGGCTCCCGTCTGCTTCAATTTTTCATTCTCTCTAGGATGCTAATTGTTTTTTCTTCTGATAAACTTGTATTTTTGGCCTGAAGTCTAAAGTCTGGCCTGCTGGGCTATGTCAGATTTGTAAATTAGATGACATCTGTTTTGGATTTTTATCGTCTTTAATTTTCTTTCGAACTCTCTTCATTTATTCATTTCCCCTCTAATTGTAAGGATCACACTTTGCTGGGTGCTTTAGACAGAAGTATAGACCTTTCTTCTTTGGGGAACACAGATTAAAATGACTGAAGCTAAGTGGTCACAATGAAGGCTATTCAGGAAAAAGATGTTGGGAGAGAAGCCTTAGCAACCCTCCCAGGGAGGATGAACGGCTAATACAAAAGGCTGGCTGTCTACACCAGCATTTTGAGGTTCCCACTGAATAATTACAGTCAATTAGGAGATTGACAGTGAGTGTTGAACACTGGCAAAGTGAGTATTTTGAATTGAGAAATGTTGACAAAGTAGGGATGGTGGTGCTGGTGGCGGTACGTGAGGGGAGTGGTGACATTTTTATCGCTTCACGTTTGACTTCTCTCTCTGTGTATGTGTTTTCCCCAGAAAAATAATAAAAGGAGGAGAAACTTGAATGCATTCACATACCTACAGATTCATATCTTATTTTATTATTTTATTTTATTTTCAGATTCATATTTTAATAGTAAAATCTTATTTTTTTCCTCCTATGTACGTAGCTCCTAAATTCTTCTTTTTCGTGGGGGAAATTGTTCGTTGCTAACTAGATTGGGCCTCCTTATTAAGGATCAGTTTTCTTGTGAGAATGCCCAACGCAACTCCCTTGTGTAACATGTTTTTTCCCTTATGCAAATATTTTTCTCATATATGCTCTTGCAGATGCCAAATGGCCTCTTGCAACTTTGCACTTGTACAGGCGATAGAGAGCGTGCAGGACACCGGCCAGAACATGTGCCTAAGCTTTCGCATCTGATACACATGCCACTCCTCGTTGGAGGAAGAAATAAGCAGGCTGGCCATGCACAGGACACAAAACGGCTGCCCCAGACAGCTGCGGCAGAGGCTCTAGACCAAGTGGCTAAGACCACATCATGAAAATCGGCCAACAGTGACTTCGTACTTGCACACAAGTGACAAATCACCTCTTCAGGACGCTGGCCTTGGGTTTCTCGGATACTGCTGTGTTTGGGCTGTTGCTAGGCAGGTCATGGTCTGTGAGAAGGCTGTTTTTGAATACCGTACGTATATGGCAGTAGTTCTCAACTGTAAGCGATTTTTGTCTCTCAGGGGACATTCGGCAATGTCTGGATACATTTTTGGTTGCCACAACTGAGGGGGAGGTAGGACCCAGGGATTCTGGCAAATACTCAATAAGGCACAGAAACAGCCCCATAACCAAGGATTAACTAGCCTAAATTTCAATGGTAGCAACATTAGAAACCCTGAGCTATAGGCCTTTATATATATTGAGCCATCCAACAACAGATTAGAACTACGGTGTGTGTGTGTGTTTTTTTTTAATAATAAATTTATTTTTTATTGGTGTTCAGTTTGCCAACATACAGTAAAACTACGGTGTTGAGAGAAAAAAAGGGCACTTGTGAGCAGTCCTCCTTGGGTGAGTAGCTATTGTTGATTTTGATGACCCTATTGGTTAGATAATATTCTCTGTGCGTAGTGGACTAAGATGTGCTGCCATTTGGGCTCCCCTCCCGCTCCTCTTTTCATGGTTATTAGCATCATCTTCCGCGAGCATTCGGTCGCTCAAACTATGCGTCTCTGGGTCTTATCCACAATCGTCCCCTTCTTCTCGCCCTACCTCCTGTCGGTGATCAGCTCCCCATAACTTTGGGCTCTCCTCATTGAAATGACATATCCTGACTTCTTAGATCCTCCACTCCTAATTTAGCCCGGGCCCCCCTCACAGTTGAAAGAGCCTGTTGTCAAGGTTCCAACGAAACTATCGGGTCGCTCTCTTGCCATCCTGCTGCTCCGGCCACATCTACTCAGTGCTCTGTCCTTAGCCTCTTCCTCATTTACCTGGTCCTCCAGCGAAGACTGAAGTGCCTATCCGGTAAGTACTCTGTTAGGAGCTGTGATCATTCCCTGGATTAAAATCTTAATCTTTCCAAGGCTACCTATTGCTTAAGACACAAACCCCTCACTTCCTGACCCAGTAAAAGCCTCTGATAATCTGTCTTCCTTAGTTTGGGTCGTACACTCTCAACCCCTCTGACTTTGCACCTGCTGTTCTCTCTATTTGAAGCATCCTTTCTACCCTTATCTGAAGAGCTCTCTTTCATCCTCTGCAGCTTACTCTAGTACCTAGAGAAATGCCTGGCCCGTGAAGCTGCTCAATAAATATGGGATGAACTTAAATTTCACCCTCTCTGTAAAACATTCTATAATTTCCTGGCTGTTAGTACATCTCTCATGCTCCACAGCCGTTGTATGCACGTCTACCAAAAGCCCTTCACATACCTGACTGTGAGTCCCTTGAGAGCAGGGATGGTGTCTTAGGTCCCTTGGAACCTCCAGACTCTGTGCCAAGCTGGACATAAAGTGGACCCTGATGATTAAATGTTCACTGTTTTGTCCAAATGGCTTCTTATGTTCTGGAATCCTTAATACACCCTGGAAATGGTATGCACCATTTGATATCCCCAAAACTCACAAAATCTGACACTAGTCTCAAATGGGCTCTGCCCCTTCTCTAGAACTGAACACCCCGCAGTGCACAGTGTGAAGATAAGGTTTCAGTCTGTCCTCTGTCACCTAGTCACTGTTTCACCTTGGGAGGACATTTAACTCACCTCGGCCCCTGTATTCTTACTTTGGTAAAATGGGAATAATGACACCTGCCTTTCTTACCTTGTGGAGTGGTCATGAGGATCAAGTGAGAGCACATATTTGAAATTGTTTTTTGACTTCTAAGAGTTATAGAACTTTCCAAGTGCTTCCCTATTCAAAATACAGCAAAATGAGACAGAAGACTCCCTCCCTCAGTCTTGCATGATCTTTATTTTTTTTTAAACAAAGTTCTGCCACAAACTTTGGCCAGTTTGAGGTACTGTATCCACTCTCTCCCTTCAACCCCAGGTATTGTTTTCTTCCCAGCCATACCACTTCCAGTTCATTCACCACAACCTTCAGTAGTTTCCCTATGGCAATACCCATGGACACTCTTCTGGCCTTCCCTCCCTGGACTTGGCATCAGCCTGCCTCTTCCTGAGACATTCTCTCTACTGGAATCAGAGGGAGTTTCCTGAAACATGGATTCTGATAAAACTTTGCCATGTACGAACCCCTAGAGCGACTCTTCAGAGCCTACAGAGTAAATTCCAGATTCCTTGGGAAGGTGTCAAGCCCACCGTCTTGTGGTCCCTGCCTACTGCCTCACTGGCATTACCTAGTGTTGCTCTCCTTCTAACACACACCCTACCCATATAAAATGACGTCTGTTTCTAGAAAGTGTTGTGCTCTTTCATTGCTGCCCAGAAGGGAGCCTAGGATTTGGTTCAAAATATCATCTCTTCTGAGAACCTTTCCTGATCTAAGTCTCCTATTCCTCTTCATTCCATGCAGAAATAGATATCCCTACCTCTATATTCCCAGACTCCTCGGCAGGATCTTGATTAAGCATGACTTTCACACTCTTCTCTAATTACCCACTCAAGTATTTATTGCCTCTGTTAGACAGTGGGCTCTTTGGGTACAAGGAATATGTTTTTTTCTCCCTCTCTATGTCTAGCTGCTAGCAGAATTCCTGGTACAGAGTAAGCAATTGCTAAGCGCTTGTTGACTAAATAAGTGAGGGATATAAGCAGGCTTTGTACCACATTCTTATTCCTTTGCCACATTTTGTGCACTTTTTAGAAATTTTTTGGTTGCATTCTGGTTTTCACTGATTTAGAAAAAATTCTGGCAAAGGCCATCATTTATTCTGGGGTTACTCTGCACTGAGATAGTGGGTTTAGTTTTCTTTGGGGAGTTGAGTGCCTACTGTCTGCACTACATCTCCATGGATTTATGACACCCCTGAGGTACACAGGAACTCCTGCTTACCTGCTGCTCCTGGCCTTGGCAGTTTCCAGTTGTTGTGTAAGGAGCCTGGCAACAGTGGTGAAGCTGTTGCTCATGCGGAAGATATCTCTGCTTTGAGGGCCCAGGATGGAGGAGAAAGTATCGGTGATGCTCTTGATCTCCAGCAGGAGAATATGATGAAACGAATGTTCCATGTTGGCCAACTGACTCACCAGGAATGGCAGGCAGCTTCTGGCTCTCTCCTGCCAAGAACGATGAAAAACAGTGTGCACTGTTGGTGGGAACGTAAATTGGTGCAGCCACAATGGGAAACAGTATGGAGGTTCCTCAAGAAATGAAAAAATATAACTACCATATGGCCAGCAATCCTACTTCGAGATATTTATCCAAAGGGAACAAAATCATCCCAAAGAGATTTCTGCACTGCCACGTTCATAGTGGCATTGTTCATACTAGCCCAGACATGGAAACTGCCAGTGTGTCCATAAAAGGATGAATGGACAAAGAAAATGTAGTATTCCATTGGAATACTACTCATCCATAATTATGTCACAAAAAAAGAAGGAAATCTTGCCATTTGCAATAACATGGATGAACCTAGAGGGCATTAAGCTAAGTGAAATGAGCCAGACAGAGAAAGACAAGTACCTTGTGGTATCATCTATATGTGGAAACTAAAAAAAAAAAAAAAAAAAAAAGTTAAAGTTGATCTCATATAAACAGGGACTAGGGGACAGGGATGGGTGGGAGACATAAAGAGAGGCTGTTCAAGGGTACAAGCTTACTTTCAGCTATAAGTTGCATAAGGTCACGTATAACATGGTGACTATAGTTGATAACACTGTATTGTATGATTGAAATTTGCTGAGAGGAGAACTTAAATGTTCTCATTTACCTGTGCCCCCCCATTTGCCCCCGCTGCCCAGAAAAGGTAAATATGTGTGGTGATGGATGCATCAACCAACTCAACGTAGAGGAATCATCTCATGATGAATATGTGTATCAAATCACCACATTGTACTTTTTAAACATCTTAAGGTTGTACTAGTCAACTACACATTAATTAAAGCTGGAGGGGAACAAAAGAATAATGAAAAACAAAAATCTGTGTTTTAAAAGAAAAACATAGTCCCCTGACCAACAGATGACGATTCTATGGGGAACTGGGAGAGCTGGGGAAAGCTAAATAATGTCTCATTCACGGTGCCTCTGAATTGGCATGAGAGTTTAAGTATTCTTCTGATTTTTAGAACCTTTTTTTTTTAAATGAAAACCTTTCCCCCGTTATTCCTTTCTTAGAAATACACAGTCTCATATGCCTATCTTGTCAAGTCATAACCTCTCAACTACCATTAAAGATCTGACCCCAGGCATCTACTCTTCCTAACTTTGTGTCCTCCTCAGGCCAGTCTCCATGTCTGTGACTCAATAACTCTGCCTGCAAGGAGGCGGCTGGTCTGTGGCCCCCTTGATCCATCCTTCTGTCAGACAGGGCCATGGTGTGCAAGGTTTACCTCCTCTCCACAGGATATTCTCACTTGTTTCTTCGTTTTAAGCATCGTTCAACATGTTACAGATTCCATGTGCCTGGTCAAGTGAGCGGATCATATTATCTACCTTTGACCAAGTTAATGCTCACAAGTAGGTTAAATAGGTTCCTTCAGAGAAATGGAAGATCAAGGACAATATGAACAACGCAGGCATGAATGAGTAACAAGTAAACGTCTAGATATAGGTCTCCTATATCTATCTCTTCATGAGCCAGGAGGCACCATGATTTCATCCAACATGACTGGAAGTTAGCCAAAAATTCAAAATTATCAAAGGATAATTGGACCATGCCCAATATAAATAATGATTTGGGGATCCCTGGGTGGTGCAGCGGTTTGGCGCCTGCCTTTGGCCCAGGGCGCGATCCTGGAGACCCGGGATCGAATCCCACGTCAGGCTCCCGGTGCATGGAGCCTGCTTCTCCCTCTGCCTGTGTCTCTGCCTCTCTCTCTCTCTGTGTGTGACTATCATAAATAAATAAAAATTAAAAAAAATAATAATGATTTGTATGCAATATAAATAATGATATACAATTAATAAAGATGATTTAAAATATGGCTTATTTCATCTTTAATTCTTCCTTTAGAATCCCATTTTTTAAATGTATTTAAAAACTTCATTATGTTAATGTAGTAGAATATACATATAATTATAAATAAATATATGCTAGATGTTGATGTTCAAAATCCTTTTGATGGATAGGTGTATAGGTCTAAACTGCTTTTCTAGCTAGCTATTCCCTTTGACCCTTTGTAGCACTTGAAGCCCTAATTTCTTTCCAGACATAACTCCTACCCTATCTACTCCATAAAGCCATTCCTAATGACCTTTTCGGTCCAAATTTTCATTGCATTATAGACTTTTAAAAAGTCTCATGAGTACTTGACTGCATTTGATCATTTGTGTATTCATGCTTTAATTTAATCACCAGGTAGGTATCGCATCCCTAAAACATGCTTGTGCTAGATTCTAGGTGACAAAGGTGAATAAGAGGTGGACTCTGCCTCGAAGGGACTTGCAATCCCCCCCTTCCATTCATAATTCACTAATGGTTATGTGTACCAGTTGAGTCTCCTGAAGGGGTTATTTCTCAACATCAATCACCAGCCTGGCAGAGAATTGAGCCTGTAGAGTCTACACCCAGTGTATGAGTCTTGATTCACTAATTTAAATGAAACTTATATGCCAAAAATATGACTTTACAAATAAAATATGTAGTTGCAAAGGAATTTTGTGCTTTACAAGAAATATTTATTACTGAACAGATTTAAGTGGTGAAGTTCCCTAGTCTTTAATACTTAACTAGGTTTTCAAAGATTTCATGTGCAATTGTACTGGAACACATCTCTTGGGGATCTGGAGGCAGCTGCCAATCAATCCCTTCATAATTATTTTTAAAGAATCACTAAGTCAACGTGCTCCATCTGGGTGTATGGGAAGAGGCTCACTTCGTGAGCGAGACATCTAATTGAAGAGACATTTATCCATTAAGGGGCGAGAATATTAGAAGACTAAAAAATAGAGACCATTGGAACAAGTTCCTGACAGCTCACTTTATATTTTGGCTCCTACAGTTGGCAGGTTACAGAATGACAGTGAAATGCTCTGGAGTCTAATAGGTTTTTTTGTAAAACATAGATGCTTTCATTCATGCAAGGTCTCCATGTGTGACTTCACAGTATGCAAGGCATCACAGGGGCATTTCCCATTCCCTGTTTGAAAGCAAAAGCTGAATGTGGGGGTCCCTACCCTGTGCCAGGCTCTGTTTCAGAAGCCAGGAACACTTTACTGAAGGAAAAGGATAAAAGCCTCCGGCATCACAATGCGGCAAGCAGATAGTAAACAAAATACTTATATAAAACATATAATGTGTTGGATGACGAAATACGCCTCGAAGAAAAACGTAGCGGGTTGGGGTGTCCCACGGGGGGGGGGGGCGTCAACATTAAATAGTGTGGGGCAGTCAGATCTCACAGAGACAGTGATGCTCCGATTTAACTGGGTTTTAGAGTCTACACTTGACATTCTCAGTGGCCACAGAAAACAATTACAGTAGAACTTGTCCTGCTGGATACAGGGAGGCGGAAGACATGAGAACATAATGTCAAATTTCAAGTCCCTTCCTTCCTCACCTTCAGAATCAGATTCATTTTTAGCATTTTTTTTCAAGCTATGTCACAAATATTTCATTTGCTTATCCAAGAAGTGTCCCTATGGTTTTATTAAGGATTCTTCTCACTATAAAACTCAGACAGCCCATTCTTTAAAGCCTGTGTCTCCCTAAAGGTGAGAGTGACTGAATGGGTATCTGTTGAAACCAACACAATCCTGGCTGATTTTCTGGCAGCCAAACTGAGCTGAAGGGAAAATTAATCACAGTGCGGGAACAAGAAAAATTATAACTGCTCTGGAGCTAACATATGAAACCAAGCCAACCCCACATCGTTTGTTTTGAAACCTTGGAGCACGTCCATGTACCTTACGGGGGTAACAGATGTGATTTTGGATTAGAAAGTGTGGCGTTAGGGTAAGAAGGGGCTTAGGAGATTCTGATTTCTTTCTCGGCTCCGCGATATTTTCTCTCTGGGGAGCCAGTGATTTCATTTTTTCTGCTTTCCATCACTCCGCTGGGGGTAAGGTCAGCAGCACCTGTATGCCCTAATTGCAGGCCTGACCTCATCTCTTCTGACAAATTATTTATTGTAAAAGTAATAATAGCTGACCCACAGAGTACACTTAATCTAAGTGCCAAGCCCATTCTACACACTTTGTATGTGTTTATTCATGTAATCCTCTCAATAATACTCTGAGGTGAGTACTTGATCACTGCTATTTTATAAGGAGGAAACTGAGGCACAAATAGAAGACTAACTTGCCTAAGGTCACACATGCCTTTCGTCTCTAAAGCTGTGTAGTCACTGGAGATACCCGCAGTCCCTCCCATCAAAAAACCCAAACCCACCCACACACATATTTTTGTACTTTTTGTTTCTACATCGTGTTTTTCATCACTTATGTGGTCCTTTTCATTTCGTTATTTTTGATTTGGTGATATAAACATCATAAATACTCTGTGAATATAAAATAAGGCAGCAGATCTCAAACTTTTTGGCCTCTGAACCTCCTTACTCAGTTAAAAATGATAAAAGACCCCAAAGAATTTTTGTTTATCTGAGTTATAGCTACTCAAATATGCCATATATTGTCACATATATTAAGCTGAAACTGAAAAATTAAAAAAAAAAGTTTCTAGCGACAGACACTTTGGGTTGTCACAGCTGGGGAATGGGAGAAAGGGCTGGTAGTATGGAGTGAGTGGAGGCCGGAGAAGCTGATAAACATCCAACAAGGCACAGGACGGCCCCCCACAACCAAGAGTTGTCTGGCTCAAAATGTCAATGGTGCCAAAGCTAAGAAACCCAGAGTTAAGTAAAATTGGCTTTTGTTTGCTTTTTCCTGCAAATGTGTGGCGGGAAAGGACACAGAGTGCATTGTGGGGCCATTGTCTGGATGGGCGCAAAGGCATTAGCTTTAGCCACTGTCGCTCCCGTCCTTCCAGCACCAATGCCAACCCAATGCAAAAGGTCAATGATGTGTGAGTGTTACTGTGAAAATAACTTTGACCTCACAGACCCCCTGAGGGATCACACTGAGAACTGATGAACTAGGGTTGAGGGTCAGCACACTTTTT